GTTGTTGTTGCTGCTGGTGGTGGTGTTGTTTGATTGTTAACTGGTCTGGCAACTTTGTTGGATTGGAATGTTGCCTTTTGCTGCCGCTGTTACTGTTGTTGTAGTTGTTGTCTGTTGTTGCTGCTGTTGCTGCTGCTGTTCCTTTTTGCTGTTATTGCGTCAATGCCGTTAATGTTGTTATTGGTTATATTGTTAGTTCTCTACGCACATTGTTGCTACAATGAGTCAGAAGCTGAAGCGTCGGGTGCGACAGTCACAGCCACAGCGACAGCGACATCGGCGGCTGCGACCAAATCCAGTGTCACAGTCAGAGTCAACAGCGAATGCGCTGGCGTCATCAGTCGTCGCAGTCGACGGCGGCGTCAGCGTAGTCGTTGACGTCGATGTTAACATTATCCGTTTGCAGATAGAGGTGAGCTACTAGGGGGGCGTGATTTTCGCATGATCGTGGATTGAAAATTGTAGTATGTTCATATTTGAAGGCATATGCATTTAATAAAAAAAAGTAGTAACTATCATATTAATAAAACAAGGGCATACGCAGCTTTTTCCAATTTGTTTAAGGGGAGCAAAAAAAATTCTATAAATAAATGTTAAACAAAGTTTAAAGTAAAAGTAAGCTCAATGTAATGAATTAACTTAATTTGGTATTTTAAAGAAGTATTTCATTTTCACTCATTTATAAAAAAAAATTGATATTTATTTCTTTCTTATTTTCTGATCTATTTGCTTATCAACTGACATTTCGTTGCACTATTATTTTTATACAAAAAAAGGAAGTAGTAAAGTTCATCAAAGAAAGCTGATGATTATCTGCCAAAAAGTAAACCATTTTTTAAAACCAAATTACATACTATAAGCAAGAGATAAGCGTATGATAAATATATTAAAATCGAATTAATTAATTAATTAGTTGTGACATGAAATTAGGATACGATTGAAAATTAGTGGGGAGTATTTGTTATGTTGAGGAACCATTTTTAATTCATTTAATTAATATAAAAATTGGGTGTGTTACTTTTCAAGCATTGATGAGATATGTCCATATACGAACCCAAATCTTCATATAATAGGCTTCTTCTACCAACACTGGGCTTTGACTCAAAACTTGTTAAAGTTCAAATATGTACATATGTATGTATGTATGTATGTGCGTGAGTGAGCCAAGGGTGCATGCCCATCCCTAATTGCAAAGACGTCAGCGTTTTAGTCTCAGGGCTCTAGCGTGTGCGTAACGAATGCAGCTTGCAAATTTCTTCGAAATACTATTTTTAAATGTTTTTTTCTGTTATTTTATAGTTTGATTTTTTTGCGCGCAAAATTACAAAAACGTAATGCAAGCAAATAACGACTAAGCGTGCAAATTACATTTAAACTTACACCTTTTTACGAGCCTCGCGCAGTGTACGTACAGTGGCGCCGGCGCGTTAAGCGAAATTAAGCAATAAAACGCTTTACCCGCTTGCATATACATACACATGTACATATGTATGTATATATATGTATGTATGTATGAATGTACATTGTTTTATTTCATGTCATTGGCGGGCGAGCAGTTGTTGATAAGCTTCAGCAGCTTACTGATTGTTGTAGCTGCAGGCAGCTCCTGTTCTTGGTAATTGAAAAGCTTTGGGGGGCCAAGTCTCCTTGGGGAAATGTTCATGCGCAAAGTTCTTAACCCATTCGACACATAGTTTCGTTACTAACAAATTTTTTAGATATAAATATTGTTTTTATGGAAGTAAGGGGGCTTAAGTTTAATGCACTATCGACTTTGTCATGGGTCCTGGAAAAAAAACTGTGCCCACTACCTAAAATAAGGAATTCATTTGCAAAAATAAGCAGTGAGTGCGCAAAAGGAGGAGCAAATTTTAATGATATTTTCTTTCTTGTGTCTCGAAAGCCTTCTTTTAAATCTCTCTCGCCCCCCGGTCTAAGATTTCCCTTGGTTTGGTTTTTTTTTTTAAGTAAATCAATTTTTCATTTTTTTCGCATTAAAAGCGTTTTAAAATATTTAATTTGCTTTGATTTTGTATCCTACTTAGACTTTTTTGACTTACATATGTATAACGTTTATTACAAATACTTCAGTATATTCATCGCATATGTATACACACGTGTACATATATAATATTAGTAAGTGTATTTTGTAGCGGAAATGTTGTCCGCCAACATTTCACCTGATAAAAAAAAAGCGCCAAGAATTGGGTCACGCGCCACACAAATACACACTCACTGAGTAACTATGTATGTATGTACATTTGTGTGTAATGCTCTTTTATTTAACATGAACTGAACAGTTCTAAGGCAACTGTGTTTAAGGCTGTTTATGCGCGACTCCTCTGCCGCCGCTTTTGCGGTTGTTGAACAGAGTCGGCGAATTAGAGAGACACATCGAGTGCGAGAGAGTGTGCAAACTGCTGTGTGAGAGAGGAAGGTGATGAGCGGGTGGGCAGGTGTCATTGCCAATTGCCTTATAATTTTTGTTTTTTTCAATTTTTTATGAATTCAATTTTTTATACATTTGCGCTGTGCCTCATAATTTAATTACACACATTTTATTTAAACCTTAAGTGATTTATAAATGATTTTATTTCATGTTGTTATAGATTTATGCGTTAATTTTTGCTACTTTTGTTACTGCGCAATAAAGGCAACAGCGAACAACAAATAATAATAAAACATAATAAACAAGCCATGACAGCATTAGACCAGTGTTTAATGTTCTTGTTGTTGTTGTTGTTATTGTTCTTATTATTGTTATGATTGTGTGCGTGAGCATAAAGATAGAGAGTGACAGAGAGCATGTGGTGAGTAAGAGTAAGAGAAACACATTGAGGTCGTATGTCTGTTTATTTGTGTGCAATGCAAAATTAAATAAAATTAAACAAAAAAGGCAACAGCATATCAAGAAAGTTGCAAAAACTAACAATTATAATACCTAATTATTTTCATAAGTATGATCATACTATACATACCTATTATCGTGCGTACACACATACTAAATTTTAACTACGCATTTACTACTAAATACTACTACGTAGTAGATTGCGTACTACAATTACCTCCAAAAAAAAAAAAGAAGAAGGAAAATCCAAGAGAGGCATTTAAATTGTTGGGGTGGTGGTGGTTGCAAGTCTGTCTCAGTGACTTGCCTCTCGTGCTTTGTTTTGTTTTTCTTTTGCCACGTTTTGCGCTCAGCTCCACACACCGCACACGACGCAGACGCATTTTGTTTTTACTACGCCCCAAAAAGTTCTCCACCACCACTAATTCCATCTATAATTTTTTGCCCTGTACCCGAAGAGCGAAAGGGTGTACCAGAAAATATGTTACATGGTTATCGGTAGATCCAAATTTGTATGTTTTGCCTAACCATTATCTTAAATTTGATCAAAACTATTAGATCATATGGGCTATATCATAGACATACAAATGTAAAGGTACGGTTGGTGCAAAAAAGTTAATTTAATCGAATGATTGTGGAAGAAGCAGCGGGGTGTTCAGTCTATATGTACTTCGCGCGACTTTATTGTTCTTTTTGAACACCCTGTGCCGACCAGACTTTGATGAATTACAACCGGGCAGGGCGCGTAGTAAATATGCACATAAACAAACGCACATGCATACGCATACACGTCACTTGAATATTTACTACGCTTTTACAACTGCCGCGGCTGTGCTGCTTTGCTCTACTCACTCTCTCCTCTGCGACGGACGCGTCACGACGTTGATTTCTCTGGCTGCGGCAGAGAGCCGGCGCTGCCAACGTCAAGGCGATTTTACGTGCGCGCGTCAGATGCTAAAATACAAACATATGTATGTACATACATACATACATACATGTACATACAGACACATATAACGTCAATGCTGTGTGGTCTATAGCTAAGCACACAAGCATAACAACAAAAACAACAGCAACAATAACATTTTTGCGTGCTATTTTTGTTTATTCTTATTTTTTTGCCGCATAAAATTATTACTGTTTTTGTTGTAGCCGTTGTTATTTGTATTGGCTCTGGCCTGGCCTGATAGACTACTGCCCGTTGTTGTTGTTGTTGTTCCTGCTGGTTTCTGCTTCTTAATTGCTTGAGCAATGCCGCACACATTAACATATTTAAATTCGCAAAGAGAGAGCGGAGAATGAGTGAGAGATGGCGAGCATGAGAGCTTTAATAGACACTGTTAATAACATGCAACAATTTAACAGCAGCTGTAAAACGACTTTTGCCGGCAACGGTTTGAAAATTGACATTTGTTTGGGGACCTGGGTATGGGTAGTGCTTTTAATCTCATCTTTAATGTTCTGATATCATGCGTGGTCTTGTTTTTTAGTCGTATCAATTACGTCTGATCAATCTGTCATATCGTAATGCAAACCTTCGGTTGATAATTTAATTAATTAATAATTTGCAAAAATGTAATCAAAAATGAAATAAAAAATTTAGCCAAACCTAGATTTTGCCTCTCTTCCAGCATTCTTAACGACAGCAGCACATTATAACTATAATAATAAAAAATATGTCTTTCTATTGATTTATTGTTTTAAAATCTGTTTTTTCTATATGAACATGTGCACTTTGTTGCATGCTTTAAAAAGTTCGTTTCGTGACAGGCTCTTGCCCATCACTATGGTGTGAATACTCTCTTTCTCTCTCCATCTTGGTTGCATAGGTGTTGGTGTTGTTCGCGCAAACAGTGTTGCAGTCGCCAACCACTTTCAGTTTATTTACGCTGCGCGCGCCGCTGACGCAAGCAGCGAGCCGCGTGCGCTTTTATTACACCATGCAAATGTCAATATGCGGTCACCCTAAAACGATAAGTGAAGCCGAACGAACCGAAAACGAAACAACAACAACAACAGCGACAACGACACGTGTGTCGAGCACTTGGCGCCCTTTTTCGCATAAAATTATTGCTGCTTGATTTTTTGTTTTTTTGCTTGTCGTGTAATATTGAACAATAACATTTGCACTTTTTTCTATTTCTCATTATAGTTTAACGCTCGACTAAAAACAATAAAATAATAATAAAAAGCATTCCAACTGACGATAAAAAGTAAATCATACGCCACACACTTGATTTGTGTTTTTGTTAAAGCAACACAGGAGCGTACGTGAGCAGTGACGTCAATAATGACAATGATTACTTAGTGGGCAAGTGCCCATAATATAAAACCCAATACCTTTACATACATACATACATATGTAAATATGCCGTTAATATTGAGGAAAATGGATTTATCCTTCTGCCTGCCCAAGTATTTGAGGGATTTATTCAGAGAGCGCATAAAGGTTCATAGAGCCGTTGCAAATCAGCGATATAAACTCTGTAACGACTACATCAACTACGTGGAAGCAAAAACATTCCGAAAAATTGCGCCACATGAATTATTTTGTTGCAGTTGTAATGCAACAAGAGGAAGACAACAACAACGCGATGAGCAACATGCTGGAAAGACATTTTGCTGCAGTCGGAACACGAAAAGTAAACAACAACAACAACAAGAACAACAACAGCAACAGCAACAACACATGGTCGTTAGTACAAATGACAATAACCAAAAACCAAATGCAACAACAACAACAACAACAGTAACAAGGAAAGATACAAATTGCCATTGTCACTGTCATTGTAAAAACAACGACAACAGCAGCAGTAGCGACAAAAGTTGCAGCAACATTTCATCGCTTCCCAATGATGATACGTTGGCTACAATAGCAACAGCAACTACAACTATTAAAAGAACGACAAGACTGAGTTTAAGCCGTAACAATTACAACAATTCTAAACATAATCAGCAGCAGCAACAACAACAACAACAAGATACATTACCGTTTAATTATGCAACATCACAACAGCAGCAGGAACAACAACAGCAACCAGAACTCTTGCATCACAAACGCCGTTATCAACACTATCAGCATTACCAACAACAGCAACAACCACATCAACAGCGACTGTTAAGCTACAGTCGAACCTTTCTTATAGCTCTATGGGTCCTATCGTTCCTAACAGCATCATTGCCAGCAATACATGCCACTACACTGTTGCAACACCAGCAGCTCCATCGACAGCGGCGGCAACTGCATTCTGATGAATTTGCCGAGCATCTGGCAACGCTGGTCCGTTCGCCGCGACACGCTAGCAACAACATCAACAAAAACAATGAAGTCAGACTATCCCGTAATGAAACAAGTAAGTACTCTGGCAACCAAATTCCGTGTTTATATACATCCATGCATAATAGCTACATGTTGATATTTAAATTGCAATAAGTCGCCCGAAAAATGTTTTCTTCTTGTGACATTTATTTATGGCTAATACGAAGCCATATATTTTTTTATTTCATTTAATTAAAAAAAAAAAAAAAGAAAGAGAACGCTATAGTCGAGAAAGCCCGACAGTGAAATACCCTGTACCCAGTTAAACTTCCGACACTGAGGTATAGGAATGTGCCTTTTACAGAAGCAAAAAGAAGAACAAGAGCGAAGTTGATGTTGCAGCTTGTAGGCGTAGCACTGAAAGTAGCAAAAAAGTAAAATAAACTCGTATAGAGTAGGGACTAAGAGCGCCTGCATACCAAGTTTAGTTTATGTACGCTCAACCGTTTCCGAAATCCAGGCGTTCATCCAGACAGACGGACGGTCATGCTGATTCAGCATATATATGCATACTTTATGGGGTACAGGGTATAATAATACACTAGAGAAAATAATACAAAAGACTCATAGACTACCCCTCGAAGAGACCAGAATTTAATATATTTCTTCTCTGAATAACTGAAATATTAACAATTAAACCGAACCTTTCCTTATTAATCCATTAATTATTTTTCACATTTTTAGCTTGTAAATCTTTGGACATACGAAACTATGCATCGGAATTTAAACAGCTAGCCAATTGCACGATAATCGAAGGATTTTTACTCATCACTCTGATCAATGATGCTAGTCCACTGAACGAAACGTTTCCATTACTCACTGAAGTCACCGAATACATAATCGTCTATCGAGTGAACAATTTGTTTTCATTATCGCAAATCTTCCCCAATCTGAGCGTGATACGCGGTAATACGCTATTCGAGGGATATGCCCTGGTTGTCTATCAGAATCGAGATCTTCAGGATATTGGGCTGTCCAGGCTAAGGGCCATTGCGAGTGGCGGGGTGCGATTGGAAAGAAATATGGCATTATGTTTTGCCACAACCGTCGACTGGACGAATATAGTGTCGAGGAATACAACGGAAGATGAGATTGTGGTTCGGATTAATCGCAATCCAGAAGAATGTCCAAAATGTCCGGGCGATTCAAAGGGCACTGATGCGAAGGACAGCATTGTCTGTAAAGAGTATGGATCCTCCAAGCGTTATTGCTGGAACAAAAAGGCGTGCCAAACAAGTGAGGGCGAATAACTCAGCACGTTAATCTTGTGAATGCATTCGTAAATCTTTCGTTCCACTCCTTTTACAGTTTGTCCCGAGCGTTGCCGAAACAATTGCATAGATGAGCATACCTGCTGCAATGAATCCTGCTTGGGTGGCTGCATCAACACGCCATCACAGTGCACCAGCTGTCGCCACTATTCGATACACAACAACACGTGCATCGATGAGTGCCCACCGAACTACTTCAAGGTAAACCTAGTAGAGTCCTGCACGTAACACAATATATCCCAATCAAGGCCCATTGATTAACTAACCCCCAATGGAAATATAATACATGTTTTTTTCATTAGTTTTAGCCCCATAAATTTGAATAATTTGAATATTAGACATTAGTGAACAAATAGCAGAGTCTTGCGTGTAATACAATAGTTTCAAATGTAGTTTTGAATCAAACAAATCATTTTTACAGCCTTAATTATTAAAAAAAAAACTCTTCACTTATTAGAGCTCTGCATGTGTGTATAAGTGCTTAAATGATTTGGTTGTACTCATCATTAAATGATTATCGAATTTAAAGAACAATCAGAAGACAAAAACCCCATTTCATAGACAATATTGAATCATTCGATTATTAACTCTTTCTTTAAATACTCACTAATGAGAATATATTGAATCAGTATTGAATTATTTTAGTACTCACTGTTCAGCTCACTAATTGTATTTAATCAGACAACATGCATAGTGTAGTTGATGTAGTATTCATGTATTATCACTTGAATTTTTTTTTTATTCATAAGACTGTTATGAAACATTGAAACCGTTAACTTCTCTTGCAGTACGGTCGTCGCTGCATTACGGCGAAAATGTGCGAGGACATTGGCTATAAGTATGAGGGCTCCAAGCAATTCCGACTCGTCCACTTCAATGGTACATGCACCGTTCGATGTCCGCCCGGCTTTAACGTTCGGAACTCGACGTGCGTGAGCTGTGGCGATAAGTGCGAGAAGGTGTGCGAAGGCCTAACCATCGACAGCTTGGAGAGAGCCAAGGATTTAAATGGCTGCACTCAGATCGGTACACGGGAGGGTCTGACCATTGCCATTAAAAGAGGTGGAAGTAAGTAGAACTGAGAGCAGCCCAGCCGCGAACCAGTTTTCGAACTATTCTGCTTCTGTTTACAGCACAAATGATGGGCGCTCTGGAATTTGGACTCAAGTCCGTACACACAATTAACACATTTCTGAAGGTGCATCTCACGTACGGCCTCTCATCGCTAAGTTTCTTCAAGAGTCTGCGCGTCATCCGTGGCGTTAGACCGTTTGAGGGCCGCTTCGCTCTGTATGTGCTGGATAATAACGATCTGGAGGAAATCTGGGCACCCAACCAGACGGTGCAAATTTTGAACGGCAGCGTATTCTTCCACTTCAACTCGAAACTCTGCTACGAAACCATCGACAAGCTACGTCCAATGCTGGCCAGCAAGCCCACCCAGTTCAACAAAAATGAGGTAGCGGTTGATTCCAATGGCAACAAGGGCGCATGTAAGTGACTGATAGGTCTCACAAAATTGGAGATAAATTATAATTTCACTTCGATTTCAAATGGTTAGGCCATACCGTGAAATTGAAAATCGACAGAGTCCAAGTGGGTCATAGCATGGCAATAGTTACGGTTAATAATGCGTCCATACATTTCGATGACGATCGGGCATTCATCGGTTACCAGTTCTATATTATGAAGGATCCCCAACGTAAAGCTACCAAGCAGAGTTATCTGCCCTGTGAAGACAAGTAAGTGCCTGAGTCCATTCGATCGCTTTCTGTTTTTCTCACTCTATTGCTTGTACCTATTAGATGGATGGTTCACGACCCCACAAAGGAGACAGACTTCATATTCAATAAACTGGAGCCATATACACAGTACGCCTTTTATGTGAGCACCATGACTATATCGTCGGAACGGAAGAACGGACAGAGTGATATTCATTACTTCACAACGAATCCGGCACGACCCACATATGTGCAGAGAATCAGAGCTCGCTCGAACTCTAGCTCCGAAATTGTAAGTATTTTGCGAAAGAAACCCCCATTTTAAAGCCTCTCCAATTTCTAACTCAAATATACATTGGGATAGACGGCTGGCTATTGCCTGGACTTGAAGGCGTACCCTTGAGCCTAACCGACTGAATAATCTTTTGAGTATTCCTTAGACACAAATAAACATTAATATATCTAGAGCAGTCTACAAAGTGTTACTCTGAACAATCTTTTACATAACTCGACTAAACAGAGTAGCCTTCTTGAGTTCTAATCATAGTTTAACACTCTCCCTTAATTTTGCGCAGGTGCTAAGCTGGGATCAACCAAAGAATGTCTTTGGTAAGCTGACGAAATATGTGGTTCGTGCCGTGCTCACACAACGTGATCCCAAAATGTGGCAACAGCGAAACTATTGCTGGGACCGTAAGTAGACACTACATATAGAGCTCGAGACAATCTCCTATCCCTAACCTCTTTCACGCAGCGCTGGAAAAGACCTTTAACAATGAGGACACCTATCCGGAACGCCCGATCGCCGAGAAGAAAGAACCGTCGGCGTCCACCTGCCAGTGCGATGCCAATGGTGAGAATTTTGATTCGGAGAGTGTTCAATCCAAGCTTCAGGATGAGATCGAGTTCGAGAATTCGTTACAAAACTTCGTCTATGTGAGTAACAAGAAGGACGAAGATGATTTCGCAGGCGCTGGACCCAATTCGGACTCATCCAACATGTACGACAACAGCATCGATGGAGGTATGGATGGTGGCGAAATGAAGATGCGGCGGCGCAGAGAAGCAAAAGTACTGCAGCGTTTTGATGACTTCGACGAGGACGAAGGCAATGGGAGTGTTCTGTTGCGTCACATACGAGCCGCTGAAGAAATCGAACCCACAACGGATACCGATGTAGATGCGTGGTTCAACCAGACACGCATGGATAGCACCGGCAAGTACTACGAAGTCTATGTAGCAGCCGTCAATGCCACCGACAAGGAGTTCGTCTTCTCGCAACTGCGCCACTTTTCGCTCTACACACTCTCCGTGGTGGCGTGTCGGGAGGCCATTGCCAATGATACCCAAAGTTTGTGCAGCGATGTTAATCCAGTCGACAAGATAACCAATAAGATGGGTGAGTTAGACAACGAGACATTGTTAATATTTATTTTTCAAGGGTTATGCTCAGTTTCAATACGAAGTCCAATCACTGAGGAACTCGTCAGATCAGATTTTCTTAGGAGGTGAGGAGGGGAGCTTCTAGCAGGCTCACTTCTCTCGTTGCTGCTCTTGCTCCGTTTCTCTCTCTTCCTCCCGCTTCCCTTTTGCCATCCTCTTCATGGCCCTCACTTTCCTTCCTCTTGTCCTTCTCCTTTTACTTTTCCCTTTCCTTGTCCTTTTCCTTCTACTCTTCCTTCTCCTCTTCCTTATCCTTTTCGTTCTACTCTTCCTTGTACTCTTCCTTATCCTTTTCGTTCTACTCTTCCTTGTACTCTTCCTTCTACTTTTCCTCATCCTTTTCCTTCCTCTTGTCTTTCTCCTTTTCCTCTTCATCCTACCCTTCATTATCCACCTCTTCCCTTTCCTTCACCTCCTTTTCCTTGCAAGCTTCCATCCAGCCAGGTCCGACATCGAAATAACTTTCATAGAGACGTTATGATATTTCATGGGCCTTCATTTCCTTCATCTTGTCCTTTTTCTTCCGCTTGTCCTCCTTTTTCTCTTTATTCTACCCTTCATTATCCACCTTTTCCTTCTCCTCCTTTTCCTTGCCAGCTTCCATCCAGCCTGGTCCGACATCGAAATAACTTTATTCGAGAATTTTTTTACATTTGAGTTTTCTGTACCAGATGGGGCTACCCATCGTATGCTCTATTAACTATTATAGGATCCTAGCTATATTAAGAAAATAAAGGAGCTAACTCCTTTAATCTAAATCATCAATCATCTATTTACAGAAAATGTGGACGTGGCCAGACACCTCACCCTAACGCTCGAGAAGACAAACACCTCCCGGAGATTTGTGCGCCTACACTGGGAACCACCGAAGCAACCCAACGGTGCCATTGTCTCCTACACAATCGCCCACCAACTGCAGGAGCCGGACGCCGTGGAGGAGAAGAAGTGCATTACAGAGGCAGACTATCAGAATCTGACAAACGGCTATATTGTATCCAATCTGAACAAGGGCAACTATAGCTTTCGGTTGCGTGCCAATTCTCTGGCCGGCGAGGGCGAATATACGGAACGCGTCTTTATCTATGTGCCGGTAAGTGAAATAAAATTGCCCTTGACTTGGAAACCTTGTTATCATATTCTCATGCCTATTGCAGCCACCGGATACTAACATACTAGCTTGGGTGCTCAGTATCGTAATCGTTGTAATACTTTTAGGCGTCTTATTCGCCTTCTTCTACGTGCAGCACAAAAAGAAAACGCCGCACTCACTGATCATGAATCCCACGGTAAATCCCTTCTATGTCAGTCTGCAGTATGTCGCCGATGACTGGGAGGTGGCCCGCGATCGCATCATTCAATTGCGACCCCTGGGTCAGGGCTCCTTCGGCATGGTGTACGAGGGTATACTGAAGAGCCATCAGAATGCTGGTGAGGACACGCCCTGCGCCATTAAGACGGTCAATGAGAACGCCACAGATCGGGAGCGTACGAACTTCCTGAATGAGGCGAGCGTCATGAAGGAGTTCGACACATACCATGTCGTTCGCCTGTTGGGTGTATGCTCGCACGGTCAACCCGCTCTGGTCGTCATGGAGCTAATGAAGAATGGCGATTTGAAGTCCTATTTGCGTGCCCATCGTCCCGACGAACCGGACGATGTGCTCGCCAATTATCAGCAACGTATTGGCCTTCAAGCCGGCAATGTGCAGCCGCCACCCTATAGTCGCATCTATCAGATGGCCATTGAGATAGCCGACGGCATGGCCTATCTGGCGGCCAAGAAATTCGTGCATCGCGATCTTGCGGCACGCAATTGTATGGTGGCGCACGATCTGACGGTGAAGATTGGCGATTTCGGCATGACGCGCGACATCTACGAGACGGACTATTATCGCAAGGGTACAAAGGGATTGCTGCCCGTACGGTGGATGCCGCCGGAGAGTTTACGCGATGGCGTCTACGCCAGCTCCAGTGATGTCTTCAGCTATGGCGTAGTGCTGTGGGAAATGGCCACACTCGCCTCCCAGCCCTATCAGGGTCTGTCTAACGAGCAGGTGCTGCGCTATGTTATCGATGGCGGCGTCATGGAGCGTCCAGAGAACTGCCCCGACATGCTTTACACGCTGATGCAGAGCTGTTGGCATCATCGGCCCTCGGCACGCCCCACCTTTATGGAGATTATTTCGTATCTGGAGTCTTCGGCTGATCCGCATTTTAAGGAGGTGGCCTTCTGCTACACAGATATGGGTCAACAGTTCCGGGAGAAGGAGCGCAAGGATCGCGCCCAACAAGGTAGTGCTGTCAGCGCCGATGTCTATGCCGATAATGGCGAGGCGGAGGAGGATACAGCACCCTTGCGTGTTCACAAATTCCATCACGGCTACAATTCTTCGGTGGAGCAACAGCGCGCCGAGAGTCCGGTGGTCTTAGACGAGGAACAACCGCATTCTCCCTTCAGCATGCACTCGGCCTACATTGTAAGCAGCACGCCCGATGGTCAGTCGAAGAATAGCTATAATCTGTCGCACAATAATCCCACACTGATGAGCTCGTTGCCCTCCACATCAATGGGTGGTGGCGGCGGCGGTGGTGGTGGTGGTGGCAGCCAACCCACTCCCAGCCAACTACAGCAGGTGCCACGACCCTATTTCGGACGTACAGCGACCATTAGTCAGGGGGATGACGATACCTCCGCATATGTGCAGCCTGACAGCGACTGTCTGGCCAGCGCCTCGCAAGGCACCGACGACCGCGGCTACGAGCTCTACGATCCCAGTCCCCACTTCCCCAAAATGCCGCACTACAATCCCTCCAGCAGCAGCAGCAATACGAACCACACCAGCAGTGCCGCCACCAGTGCGGGTGGAGGCCACCACCTTGGCACCATCGAGAGTGGGGGCAGTGGCAGTGCGCGCAGTTATACGCCGCGCTTCTTTACGCCCACCGCCACGCCCCTGCCCCCCGGCGGCATAATCAGTGATAATCCCAACTATAAACTGCTAGAAGAATCTGGCAATAGTTCGGCCACAATTGTATCCAAATCCCCTCCCGCACGCCTAGCCGCAACGAGTGCCTCCCAAATCACAGAATTGAGTGAGAACCCCACATACCAGATGATGGGCGGTACGGCCGCCCCCCCACGTTTTCCTTCCAAGCTGTGTTACCCGGCCAGCTACGACGACGAATCCAACGAGGATGATGATGATAAAGATGACGACGATGAGGAAGACAATGGACACATCAAAACGGAACTCGTGCCCCTAAGTCGACTCTTCACGGGACGTTCGAGGAAGGCACATATTGTTGGGGGCATGATGAATCAGCAACGAAGCCGAAGCGCCAGTCGGTCTCGCAAAGGCGCCAAACCCTCGAATGCCGCCACCGAAGCGGCCACAACGGGGCAGTCCTCAGGTGGGAGCGGTGGTGCCAGTAATGTGTCCAACCTCTTAAAAGAGAATTGGTTGCGGCAAGCGTCCACAAACTGCCCACCACCACCCAACGGTTTTATAGGTCGCGAGGCGTAAAAGAATGCCAAAACGCTTCCAGCCACTGAAAGGGTCCTTTTTTGTTTGTATATACTTTATATATATATATACATGCGAGTATATATACTTTATTGTACATACACAAGAGTATATGCATAGATCGGTTATATACATGTATATCCACAACTGTGTAAATAAGTATCGAGCGTCGCCACAAAACTGTTGCCCTTTGCCAAACAGTCACTATTCCCGACCTTCTGCTCCCTCTCGCTGGATCATGTGCAAATAATTTGCGCACAAACTCGTTCAATTTTACAAACAGGAATGGATCTTTGCATGGACGAAAGTTTTCGGTTCGGCATGCATGTTCAATTGTTTGAAATTTGAACTGAAATTTGTGTGCAAATTGTTTGGCTGTGTGACCATAGCAATTACTTTGTATAGAACAATTAAGTATATTTATGTTTTATATTAAGTATTTTATTTTCTATACCGTACATATATATCAAAGTATATGTATATAGAGAAATCAGAAGAAAAAAAACAACAACAACAAGAAGCAAGAAAACAAACGAAAGTCCTACTACATGCAAATAACAAAAAGTACAAAAAGCCAACAACCAACCAACCTAGGTACCGTTTTTTTTTACCACATACAACATACTACAAACAAACAAACAAACATAAAATATAGGCATAAAATACATACATACATACGTACATAAATCAATGACTAAATAAATGAAATAAATAATAGAAATATTTACACGAACGCTATTCAATTATTTTATAATAATAATAATAATAACAATAGCAAAGCAGAAAGTTTCTTAGTACCTACAACAACAGCAACAACAAACAAAGCAAAACAACAACAACAGCTACAGCAGCAACAGCAACAAAAAGCAATACAAAACTGTCTTCACTAAACTAATTAGTTAAATTTAGTAGCTAATTAGTTAGTTAGTCGCGTTTTATCCTATAGTTTTATTCTAATTGTTTAGCAATTATTGCTCAATTTTTTGTTTGTTTATTTATTGTTTTGCATGTTTTGATTGCTTTGTAAGTTTTAATTGGTTTTTAACAACAACAGCAACAGCAGCAAGTTCATTTTAATTTAATTTTAAACTAAACGTATTTTAATGAAAGAGCAACAGATAGAGACGGAAAGAGAGAGAGAGAGAGAAAGTGAGAGGGGAAGGTGTGTGGCAAACCATCAGATTTTGTGGCTGGCGAGGGGATATTGTAAAATCATTCAAATTATTGCTATTATTATTACAACTATTATTATTATTTTCTAAATGATTATATATAACTAAAGTACACAATATATTACATAACTATTATATACTATATACTATATGTATATCTAAATTAATTTTGTTGAAGCCAAGCTTCATTTTACAACCATAACGTAATTGTATAGAACTACAACTGAGAGCTTAAGTAACATAGAAACCCATAATTCAACTAAATGCGTAAATATATTAAAACATAAAGCCCCCATACTACCCCCACCCTAGTATGGTTGGGTAGTACGAGTGTAAACAAAATTTATAAGAATTCCTGAATGTGTTCGAACGAATCAATGAGTGAAACGAAATGCAAACGAGCTGTGGCGACTTTGTTGAGCGAAATATCTCGCCTAGATACGAATTTTTCAATACTTTTCGACACCACCTAGCTGGATTTTCAATTCAATTCAATTCAATAGTGTATTCCCAAGTACCTCTAATATTGAATGATATGCGGACTTCATTTCTCAAACGAATTACATCGATTAATGCGAGAGCGAACAGAAATCTCAAAAATTGTCGAAGAAACTAATTCTAAGTTTTAGTAAAAATATTTTTTATAAAAAAATACATATTTTATAACAAAGTATATTTTCATTAAAAATGATCACTTTTTCTTTTTTTTAAAGTTTCTTCAACATTTTTGTGAATTGAATCAATATATTTCGATACTTGAAATTCCGAAATACTTATATAAATGACAACGCTTTTCTAATGCCTGCCAAATATTTCACAATTTCATTTACAATTCCACAAAATTAGAGCAGATTGACAGCATAAAAGTATCGAAAATTGTTACTGTAGAAAATTTGAAACTATATGGAAACAGTTCAGAATCCCTGGCACAAAAGTATTGAAAATTCTATTCAAAAAAGCTACAAAACATTTTTATAACTACTATTTAGCTCGGCGCGGTAAACTAGCTGATTGATAAGTGTGCTCAGTCATGATTGACAAAAGAAATGTAACCATCTTCTGTTCTCGGAATCAAAATATAATTTAAAGAGTAATTTTCTATAACAAACAGTAATACAAATTATTGAGCTGAGAACCTCATCAATCAAAATCAATCAAGTATAACCATAGTTTTGCTCAGCAATGTCGTCTAAAATCGTTTGTATATTAAACAATATTCAATGAACTGTTACTAATTCGATTCTATAGTATAATTTTACATTTGAACTATTCATGTACACACTACACTAGACCTATATAGAAAGGATTGAAGCATAAAGGAAGCATTTTATGTACTAAATAGCTATTAAGCCCAGAAGACACACACAAAACACACTCACTCACAAACAGCAGATATACATGTTGGATTCTGTTTACGTCTTCACCAATGCCCAATTTATATATGTACTGTAAACTATGTATGATAGATAATGATACGCAATAGATTGATTGTTGAAGAGCTCGTTTATATTTATAGTAGTATTCATTTTGAAAACAGTTAACAAATCACACACACTCCCTCGAAACGAATTTCAGAGCCCAGAACGCATACAGGGCCCATGTAAACAGAGTCTAACAATCCAATACTCTCCAGACAGAAGTCAACTTTAAATGTGCTTTCGAGTAGTGAGTGGATTTGCAGCAAACCGAGGCTGTCACCACAAATGCCAGATAAATCCAACGAGAACTAGGCAGAGTAACAAAAACGCTCTCAGACATCAAATGGAAAATGAATCAATGAATCACGTTCTGTCTGTTTCAATGCGAATCATGTGAATGCACTAAATAGTAACTCCCAACAGGAAAAGTTAGTCTTATTTTTGTCTTAGACTGAATTCTATGAGTGCTTTGAATCATGATTGAAATTGAAAATGAATTATATAGTTGAGTGGTTTAAATAGTGAACTATATATTAGTCCCTTTTCTGTTCCACTATAAACATGAGTAAAGGCATTGAATCAGAATCATTTGAATTGTAGCAATGCATATGATTCAGGCGGTGCATTAAATTAAAGCGAATCGTTTAAATGTTTTGAATTAAAGCTGTGCATTAGATCAAACGAATCAAATATATTCATTTTTTTAATGCAAATAATTAAGATGGAGCTTTAAGCCACTACCATGAGAGATGAATCATTATACCTGCAATTTTTCTTCTCTTCGAACTGCACTCAAAGAACGTAGAAAACATTTAAAAGCCATAGCCCATATAATTCAAATTTGAATATTTGAATATTAATATTTTCAACATTCGTTAAACTGGGCCTATACCCTCACTTGCCTATTCTTTAGCAAATCGAATTGATGACTTGTTATGATTCATTTACGAAGCTCAGATGTTTGTAGGCATTTGTATTGAACGATATCAGCACTCATTTCCTTTAGCCCGAGCCCCCACTTGCCTATTCCTTTACAAATTATGTGTTCAGTTCTGGACCTTTTGGGGACCAGATAGCCTCGGCCTGTTGCAAGCAAGAGAGCCACAAGCCACACTCATACAAAACAAACAAAAGGATATATTATGAATTCAAGCTTCGCTTTACAACATTCAAAATGCAATTGCAACAAATGGAATTTTTGAAAAAATTACAACAACAGCAACAAAAGTATTCGATATTTGCCTTCGCTCTTTTACATGTATAACCGTAACTGTAACCGTAACTGTAACTATAACTTTATATAATTAATTAACTAATTATTATTATTATTAATGAATTAATCTACACGCAACCCTTTTGTTTTTATTTAATAGACGCAAAGCAAACAAGGAAACTAAATATTTAAATAAATTATACAAAGAAATAGAATTACAATTGAAACTAAAAAAAATATTAAAAAAAAAACAACAAAATTATGAAAAACTTAGTGCTAATTACATAAATAAACGAAACTGGGAAGCAAGCGATATTTACACTAAAAAATTGAAAAAGAAGCAAAAAAAATACCATTTTATTAATTTAAAATAAAACAAGTATGTAACAATAGATATTCTACACACCCACACACACATACACACACGCAAACACACACACACACGCATACACAGACACACACACACACACTTAAAAGACTGAAATATATAGTTCCTTTTGTTTTTATGTAAATAAAAAAGGGAGAAGAAATTAAACATAAACATAAACTTAAAGCAAACGAGCCGAAAAACACGTAAAAACATAAATGGAATTATACATAAATTTAATTAAATTAATTTGATATGTATATGTATGCATAACAAAAACAACAAAAACAAATAATTAACACTGTTAAGCAAGATTAATTTTAGTAGTTGAATTCACTAAACTGTGTAACTAAATGCCTAAAAAGTAAAGAAAACAAAAGAAAAGCGAACCTACACAACACTCGAAGCTGAGGAAGAGGAAGAGCAAAGAAAGGAAAACAAACAACAAACCGAAATACATATTGCGCAGTCAGATCGACCACAAATGCCAACTATATAGAAATATACTATATACACATAAATACACGATATTTTAGTTAAAATCGAAAAGTGTAAATAGAAACATACTCGTGCACACGAATGTGTATGAAATAGAGGGAAAAACAAAGCTTCAATATTTACGTTTTGTAATTTAATTTTGTATTAAAACTTTATTGTAAATGTAAATTGCTAAGTTCATTGTTTCCTGTTTATATAATCGAATTAAATAAAACAGCAACAACTATATATATATATATTATACATAAATATATACATACATTAACTATTATGGCGAGACTATAATGAACACTAAATTAAATTACATTAAATAAATGATTAAAAAAACATTAAAAAATAAACAAAAATGAAAAATATCAATTCTGAAATGCGGTTTTATTTCTGTGACTCGTAAAATCAGGTTTCGCATTGGGTGTATCAGAATAAAAACAGAAACTTGACCTGTCTAGGGCTTAGAAGAACCTAGATACCAAAAACCAAACGGTTATTCTAGCTCTTATACTTTCGGAGATCCTTGCGATCATACAGACGGACGGACACGGATATGTCGACTCAGCTTGTCACCCTGATCAAGAATATATATAGTTTGCGGGGCCTATTATTTAATTTATCAGAAATTTCACATTTAATTCAATATTTAATTTTTCAAAAATTTCACAATTTCATTCTCGATTTGCCAGCGCTTAGGTACTTGGTATGAGAATCGCAGAGGAGGGCGTCCACAATATTATTTAATTTATCAGAAATTTCACAATTTAAATCCATAAATTTATTATTAAATTTTTTCAGAAATTTCATCATTTAATTCTCGATTTGCCAGCGCTTAGGTACTTGCTTTGAGAATCGCAGAGGAGAGCGTCCACAATATTATTTAATTTATCAGAAATTTCACAATTTAAATCCATAAATTTATTATTAAATTTTTCAGAAATTTCACCATTCTCGATTTGCCAGCGCTTAGGTACTTGGTATGAGAATCGCAGAGGAGGGCGCCCACAATATTTTTATTTAATTTATCAGAAATTTCACAATTTAATTTCAAAATAATATTTTTATTTTTCAGACATTTTTTTAATTTAAGAAAAATACTGAGACCATCCCCCCGGACGGGCAAGATCTGCTAGGTGTTTAATATAGATTATCGAATCTGTATTTCAAAAATCCCACACCAGGTACATTCAAAGACTGAGTGATAGAGTTTTTAAAAGTTTTATATTTTGTTTTTCGTTTTGTTTTTTTTTTTTTGTTTTTGTTTTCTTTACACTCGTATGATTTGCATTTTGTGTTGATTTTATTTAACCATTAGGCGATAGTTTAATAACTACTTAATGTGTGTTTTTTTATTTTTGTGGGATTTTGGCTCTTAGGTAGAACTGCTTCTCTATTGTAAATGAGAGTGTGGCTGTGTGTGTGTGTATGGATGTGTTTGTGTGTGTGTGTATATATATTTTAAATAACAATAACAAATTATGATTAGGCATTTAAGTATTAGTTCTGCTTGTTTCTCTTCTAAACATTAAACTAAACGCACATTGCTTTGAGCTGTAATCGAGAGACAGACGGATTGGTGTAGATTGGAGAGAATTGTGGTTGGGAGTTTGGAGAGTGAGAGAGTTGAAGCATAGTTGGAACGGTTTGGAGAGTGAGAGACAGTCAGATCGGAACAGTTTTCAGAGAGACATACAGTCGAAGATAGACACACATACATTGGCATGCAGTACCAGAACAGAATCAAATCGAACGGAAACGAATGGAATCGAACCAATAAGTTATATATTCGCAGCCTTGGCTTTTGGAGTCTGTACAAAAAATGTTCCTCGCCTTAGCGGTTTGTTTGCTTGTTTGTTTTAACAATTTGAAATTGAGTTTTTATTATTATTAAGAATAATAATAATTGTAATTGTTTATAATTAGGTATATAACTATTTTTTTAACTTATTTAAAAATTGTGTATAAGTGTGTGTGTGTGTGTTTGTTGTGTGTGTATTTGTTTGCTAATTTACAGACAGTTCTAGTAAGCTTAGGTTTCTAAATTTTGTCGCCTCAGTTGGTTGCGGCAGAGGCGGAGATGTGGGATTAAAGAAGGAGGGGAAAGGAGGTCCGCTGTTGCTGCTGCTGCTACTGCTTCTTCTCCTCTTTGTTGTTGTTGTTGTTAAGGCTAAAAAAGGTTTTCGTATTGGCTTTTAAAAATGTTTCCCAACGACGCACACAGCGCCCCCTTGCTTCTTAAATCAAGTTTTTAGTTTCTCTAAAGTAGTTTTTAGTTTTTGTTTCTCACTTAAAATAGTTTGGATTATAAATTTAAATGTATTTTACGCTTAAAATGTTACACACAACTTATTTTCATTAAGTTTGCTAATTTGTTGTTGTTGTTGGTGTTGGTTTTTTGTATGGTTTTTGCATTACTTTGTTGATTTGCTTTCCGGTTTTCTTTTGTGTATACATATAGATATAGATTTTTTGTAATTTAATAATAATAATAATAATAATTGTAATAATATAATAATAATAATATTAATAATATGCTGCATATAATTTAAGATTATAAACTGCCCCATTTTGTAGGCGTAACCGAATCGGAACCGAAATCGAAGAGCCGATCCAAGCCCTCATTGGCATTCAGCGCGTATTGATAATCAATATCGTCCGGCGGATTAATGGACACGAAGGCCATATCGCTGCTGCTGAAGTCTGTAATGGTTAAGAGAGTCGATTAGTAATTAAAACTATATGTAGCTAACTTATAAACAAATATCGTTGAGATGGGTGGGGAAGGAGTTAGTTGGTTGGGAGATGGTTCTCCACAGAGATATACATGTTGGATACATTGATGGATGCATGTTTGAAATTCACGCCAGAGCTGAATCTCATGGTGCTACAAAATTTCAATTTCAAAAATGAACAATTGCCCCATTCGCTTGTCAGGCAGGAAAGTGCAACGATCAGTGCAGACCCACGAGAATTCAGTTCCAAAATGAATTTGTTGCGATAGACGCACACGGATTCTATATAATGATTATTGATTATCGATGCCATTGGTTCCATAGACGAGAGACCATGTGAATGAGCAGGGATGACGACACACGGCTGGTTATTTACAATTTACAACCCATTTGTTATTATACGGTTATTGGTTAAACGTTTAGTTATATGTCTGATAATTGGTAAGAGGGGGAATGGTGGGATTGTGGGTTCTGGGTTAATTAGTTGAATTTCATAGCTAATAGAACTGAAGATCATACCTTTAGAAATATGGCATCTCTCTACATTACTGGGCTGTTTCTTATATTTCCAAATCGTTTCTTATACAATTGTAACTGGAACACTTCTCATCTTTCATGCATTTCCAAAAAGTTCCTAATGTTTTACATAATTCCAAAACGTTTCTACGTTCCATTCACACAATTCCATAATATTCCAACCGCTATTTTCGCACTTCCAAAACGTTCATATTTCTTGATTTCGTTAAGCACCAAAACGCAGTTCCAACTACCTTTTCAATTTTATTTGTTTTCTTATCATTTTTTCACGCATTTCTTTTTTCTTTATTACTGTGCACAATTTTTCTTACTTCAAAATTTTTCTCTCGTACTTCCATTGTTTCATGCATTTCCAAAAAGTTCCTAATGTTTTACATAATTCCAAAACGTTTCTACGTTCCATTCACACAATTCCATAATGTTCCAAACGCTATTTTCGCACATCCAAAATATTTGTGTTTCTTGATTGCGTTAAGCACCAAACTGCTGTTCCAACTATCATGTTTTTATTGCATTTTCTTACTGTTCACAATTTTTTAATACAACTTGAAAACTTTTCTCACATTCTTCAATTGTTTCATGCATTTTCAAAACATTTTTAGCACAATTGGAACACACGTATTTTTTGAAATTTACAGGAAACTCAATTTCTACAATTTTAAGACGTTTCTCAATTTAACAATACAATTCCAAAATATATATAGCCTTCTCAAAAATAAAACACACGTCTTTTACCCTAAATTTGTGCGCAACTCTGGTTTGAATCTTTTCATAAACTAACAACAGATTGGAAATAAATTTATTTATTCATCATTTGCGAAATGAAATATCTCTTCTCATTTCCGAAACGTTTCTAAGGTGGAACTTTTCCAGTTTTTCTACCTGACCCATACAGCATTAGCTATGAAATTCATCTTATATATGAGATGTTGAATGAATGCAATGAAGATGTGTATGCAAGTGTGTTTATGGGAGGATTAGGCGTTTAAATATTTAATTAAGACATTGATTTCAATTTTGCCGGGTTGAGAATTTTGTAAATAAGAATTAGGAAAGGATAAGCCAAAAGTAAAGCATAAAAAAATATTCAATTTTGAACTGATTCTCGTTGATATGCCGAAAGTTGTTGCAAACAAAATATAATAAAAAGACTTTTTGTCGAAAGAATAACAGAAGAAAGTAAATAAATGTGAAAAGAAAATCAAAATTTTCAATTTCATTCAAAGTTTTACCTCTACGCAATGCTTGAAAATCGTCCAAATAGTCATTGATGGAAACAAAATTTCAAGCATCACGTTCAATAATTAATAGTTTGTTTGTTTTTCTTCACTTAAATAAATATAATATGTATTAATTAAAATTTTAATATGAATAAATAATTATTTTATTATGTATATGTTGTATATCAATATTTATTTTCATTTTATTTTACTTTTATTGTTTATTTTTATTTATTTGTATTTATATATATGTACATAATATATTTTATTATATACATATATTAAATGACTTTATTTGCTGAACTAAATAATAAAAAAAAAACATTGTACTTGAAAAACTTTTTTTTTTCATTCGAAAAATATTAAATATTACTGTTTGTGTTTTTTCACCAATTTATATATTTAAAGAAAAAATCTTCACTTAGTTGTTGTCTGTTGCTCATGAAGTTCTCACACTCAGCAAGAACTCAGACTGTGATGCGATTTGAGATAACAGACGCAGGTCACAGCTTAAGTTCTTGACAAGTGCGCTTCAGTTTACATTTGTATGTTAAGGCACTGTTAAGATAAGATAGATAAAGGCAGAGTGCAAGCGAGAGAAGAGCGCGCTGCTGTTAAAGCAATGTAGTGCGAATTTACATGTTTATATTAGAGGAATAATGCAAGGCAATGCATGGAATACATGGAAATGCACATGTAATTAGCCGGGCTTATATGTATAATTTATAAACTATATATATATAAATATGTACTTACAGTCTGGGCTCATATCAGTAAACAACAAATCCTCTAGGCCTGGCATCCCGCAACTGCTGTTACTGTTCCCGTCACAGTCTGTGGCAGTGAAGACAGGTGGTAGGCTGCGACTGTTATGGTTGCTGCTGCTGCTGTTGTTGTTGTTGCTGTTGTTGTTGTCGCTGCTGTTGTTGTTGCTGCTGCCATTGTTGTTGGAGTTCAGCTGTTTGGCATTGGCGCCAGCGCCATAAGTCTCCACCATGTTGCCAACAACATCGTTATTTACGTTGTTGCTGCAGGGAGCAACAGATGTAAATTGCATATTCATTGAACCATTAGCCGAGTATCCAGCAACATGTTGCTGTTGATGAACTTGTTCCATCGCTGGCACAAGGCCACTGTCGCGGCTATTATTGTTGCTGTTGTTGTTACTGCCATCCATTGCACAATTATACATGGGAACATCGCTAGTGCGAAAGTTTTTGCTTTGATGTTGTTGTTGCTGATATTGCTGGGGATCTTGTTCCTGTTGACTGCTGAAGCTGTTAACTGTGTTGTTAACAGTGCTGTTGCTGCTACAGGTTTTCCTGGAGTTACTACTGTTGTTGTTGTTGTTGTTGTTGTTGCTATGACTATTAAGCGTAGAGTTTGCGTGTTCCACATACATCGCAGCAGGAGCAGCTACTGAACGTTGATGGGCTTGAGTTAGGACATCACACAGCTGTTTGGCATGTCTACGGTTCGAACTGCCAAACAGCTGCCTACGGGTTGTGGGCGAGGAGGATTGATTTGGGCTGCCAAACAGCTGTTTACCAACGGCAGTGTTGCTGTTATCGTTGCTGTTGCTTCTGCTATTGCTATTCAGTTGCTGACTGCTGCTCACAACGGGATTTGTGAGCGTGGGCACTAACATATCCAGATCATCATCCACATCATAATCCAGAGGCATCAATGACTGCTCATATTTGGCGTCTCCGGCAATATCACAAATATTATTATATTCAGGCTGGGTTTGTTTCGCCGCATCCTCAATTGATTTGCTAAGGTTGCGTTGGGCTGGTAGACGATATGGTGTGTGGCCTGCGAAGTGGGATCAAGAGAGAGCGAGTTCTGTTAAGCTTCTGTTAGTTATGAATTTAAAGCTGTTAACTTACCCAAACCCTTTGTGTGAATGGCATCAATGTTATGGAACAGTGGATCGTTGTGGCGCGGATTTGTCAGATGATGCAAACGTGTCGAGGTGGCGGTACGCACTACACCACTTCCAGGTGCTCTTACATGGCTGCCGCCACTCGATGTATCTGGTGAACTCTCTGGCGTATTATCGTGACAGAGAAACACATTGATTTCATCACTATTCTCCGCCTTAATATAAATCTCACGCGGCTTTTGTGTGCTGGGCAGCTGTAAAGATAGAGAGAGTATGTATGTTGATTAACATAAATATTTAGCAGCTGTTAAAAATTAAAATGCTAATGTCACTGTTAAAAGCTGACTGTGTGCTCAGCTGCTTGTATTTTTAGATATGATATATGCTTTAGATTTTTTGTTTTATTATTTTTCTGTATATTCTGGCAACTTGTTGTTGTTTTTACTTTTCCTTGTGGCATTGTGTTTTTTTTTTGTTTTTCGTTTTGTTTAATTGATTCATTTTGCGTGCGAATTTTTTGCATTTTTTTGCCAGACAGTCAAACTTTAAAGCGTGTTAAGGAATAATATTTGTATTGGAAGTTTTTTTAATTTATTTATTTTAATTAATAAATGGATAAAATTCGAAAAACCATTAGATCATTACTGTTATTAGATATTTAAAAAAAGAAAAGCTTTTGATTTCACTTCTCACAACTAACTGCAAATAGGATATATACGAAATCGAACTGATTGACTGCGTAAACAGAAACAAGCCTGATAGCAGGAATCGAGGGCTTACGCGCACATACTCCTATGTTTTGAAAATTGCACAAAATCTAAATGTATTTATTTTTTTTAGAGAGGTTTCAGAGAAATTAAAAGAATGGCAATTCATAAATATCCGGTTTTACATTTATTTAGACCTGTTTATTCATAATATGGTTATATACATATTTCGTAAGCATCTCAAATTGGAAGAAAGCTATTAGCAAAAGAATAGCCGCAGCTCTCTGATCAAAGTGGATCAAAGTAAGCCGACATGGCTGATAGATAACTGTACAAATGGTGTCCCAAGTACAAAGAAAAGAAAATATCATAAATGATCGGAATGCATTGCACATTGTAATAAATGGAAAGATGGAAGGTGCTGGAAAATGGCATTCGGACAACATATGTGGAATGAAGTGGAATCGGTTATTATATAGTTTGGCTGACTTGCTCTCTTTGCGCATCTGTTGTGTGGAAGAGACGATAATGAAGATGATAAAGATGATGATGTGTGTGTGTGCGAGCGAGTTCAATAAACAGTTCAAGGCGAACGGAAACATTAAGCGAAATAGACATTTATAAATAGTGCCTGCTCGTCTCGTCTTATGATCCCGACTGCCTCTAGAGAAGTCGTGTTGGGAAAATCTTATTGGAAAAACTTGTGCAATGCTTGTCGCAAAATTCGCTTGAATTGATATCAAAAAGAACAACGGCGGAATGGACAGAATGGGGGAAGGGAAGCTGCGCCGTTCCATTTTGCGGTTGCGTCTGAGGAAGACGACTACGACGACGACGACGAGCCAGCGTCTAAAAATACGCGGCACGTTTAATGGCATGCAGACGCAAAGAAGAAGAACAACTGCCTGACATCCATACGTCAGCCAGCTAGCCAGCCAGCCAGCCTGATCGTAAATATGTGTGTGTGTGCATATATCTATCCAGAATATATCTACGGAATCAAGTGATACTCACCACAAGCTTCGCCTCCGGCGGTGCCTTGATCACAATAACAATCTGATCTTTAAACAGATCCACATTCAACAGATCATTCTGCGTTACGTACGCCATGCCACCGACTGTGTCCACCTCCTGAGAAATCTCAGCCAGCTCGCCACGCATCTGATCGATGAGCATGTTCAGCTCATTCTCCCGCTGTTCCAGACGCTCGCTCTCGGCCTCAATGCGACGCGTTCGCTCACTACTGACCATCGACTGACCCCCCTTCCATTGTATATTATTCTTGGACTTCTTCTCCAGTATGCCGATCCCCTCCAGCACATTGGTGATGTCGTAGATGCGGCGCTTCTGCACCGCCAGTCGACTGGAGGCATCGTTGAGGTCGACAACCCCATCGGGTGATTCTTGTAGCAGGTCCACAAACTTTTTCGTGAGTATGCCCAGCGAGGTGTCGGCCCGATTTCGATCCCCGCCCCCACCTCCGCCGCCAGCCCCACTGCTACTGCTGGAGGCAGCCTGTTCGGTCTGCCCGGAGGAGCCATAGTTGTGAGACGATTGGGAGGAAGTGTGACGATACGGTTGAAGCTGCTGGCTGGACGATTTGCTCGTCTCATCGTCGTCCACGTCGATGTCGGACTGAAGATGCAACTGTCGGGGCGTACTGCTGGCCGCATGCTTCGAATAGACGATCGTTTGATGCTGCGCGTTCTGTTTCGCCTGCTTCTTGGGGTGTATATCGTGTTGGGCTTGCGGCCGGCGTTTTACCTACAAAGAGAGAGCGACAGGCAGAGAGAGAGGGAGAGAGAGTGAAAAATTAGATAGCGTTCGCATGAAAATGAGAGTACATGTGCTTTTTTTTTTTGGTCAGTCTCAGTCAGCTTGGGCGTACTTCCCAGAGGGGCCACTACATTAGAAAATTGCTCAGATTTGGCAAAAGTCTTCGTAGCTTATTAGCAACTGACTAGCACTGAGAATTGCTGCTCAGTTTCTAAATGGATTTTTGATATTATTGTCACTAATTTATATTAATAAAAAACAATAAAAAAAATTTTTAAATAAAAAAAAATTATTAAAAAAATACATTAAAATAAAGATACAGACGAATTGGTAACCTCCTCCTTTTTTTAAGTCGTTTAAAAATGAGACATAATCTACCATTAATTAATCACACTTTTGAGAAAACCAGGCCCTTCTCTGCGATTCTCATAAAAGTGAGCTTAATAATGAACAATTTTGGTACTTTTTGAAATTAACGATTATTTCATTTAAAAAATTAAATACAATTATTTTTATATGAAATAAAATCATAAACATAATTCTTATGACGCTTTAACTTCAATAAATTGTAAAAAAGTGTTGTGTTTTTTTTAATATCAACGAAATTCTTTACTGATTATTTCATTTATAATATAATAATAAACAGCAATCATTTTTATTTAACATTTGTGATGTACGAAAGAAGCTTAAGTATTTTCAAAGAAATATGGCATATTGAATTAACATTTCTTAGGCGAACGTCTTAACTGATTTAAAATCGGAAAACTGCTGGCGATGCGGTCCGACAGCTTTCATTTAATTTTGAATCAGAATCGCGATTCCTTAGGCTGCTGTCATGTTGTGTTACACACACACATAGACATTTATTTACATACATATGTACTCACCTTGTAGTATTGTGTGATTTCGTTTGTTTTGGTTGCTGCCATGCCGCCACCACTGCCGCCGCCTGAACCACCGCCGCCACCGCCCCTCTGTTGTGTGTTTGGTGTGGAGGTTACCAACTGTTGCTGTTGTTGGTGCTGTTGCGGGTTTGGTGTTGCTGCTGCCGTCACTGTTGTTGCCGCTGCTGTGTGATTGCCACTGTCAACGTTATGGTTTTTCTTGTTCAGACTAATGTAGACGTGATCTCTTAGATGTGCTGCCACGCCACTGTTACTGTCACAGCTGTTCATGCCATTATCATATTCGACGATGTCTTCCACAATATCGCTTTTGATCACAATGTTATTGTTATTATTATTATTGTTGTTGTTGCCAGCTGTTAGCTGTTCGTAGTTGAGCTTCCGAACGTACTGGGCGGTGCCACCGACGCCTCCAAAGAGATGTTGTGGCCGCCGTATCTGTTGTTGGAGGTTGCTGTTGCTGTTGATGTTGTAGCCAGTTGTGTTGTTGCCCGCTGTGGTTGTTGTGTGATTTGTGGTGTTTGGTGGTGCAACAGTTATAAAATATTTCGACATCTTCCACAGCTGCTCCCAAAGTGCAGTGTTTGTAAAATGGTTCCTCCTCCTCTGCCTCCTCTTCTTCTACTTATTGTTTTTAGGTTTATCTTCTTCTTTTTTTTTACTTAACAACTAGGCTCAGTTTTTGGCTTGCTTCGTTGCAGGGCCGCAACGTTGCTTTTATGAACCAGGCTTGGCATTTACTTTTAATTCAGCCTTTTATATTTTGTGTATATATGTATGTGTGTGTGTGTTTGTTTGTTTGTATGTATAAGTGGGAAAACGTTAACACACAGCAAACTGCAATTAAAGAATGGTGAAGAGTGGTGTTATTGATTTATATTCTTATTTCTGCATTTAAATATTTTAGTTAAATTATATAAAGCATTTCTTGTTTGGCTGAAATAATTTCTGCTTAAGTTATAAAAAATGCAGCATACTTTTTTGCTGCGCACAATTTTATGTTACAGTGAAGAGAAAACTTTTTACTCTGCGCCTAACATAGTTCTGTTAAGCTGTGCAGGTCACAAAAATAAACAATTCAATCTCAAATTGCTCTCATATAGTTGTTTATACAGAATTAACATATTTTTGTCAAAATATTTTAACTTAAAATTATTGAAAAAAAAGATGCATCTCATTCGAAAAATTTGAACAATAAACAAGGACCAATTCGGCTACAAATTTTAAGAAATATAGAGGGTAATAGTTACAACAATTTCAGTTACATTATACTTATATGTATATGTATTTATTTGTTGTTCAATTATATTTACCTTGTGTGCGCTGCTGGTTTCTGGATTTTTGCTTTTTGCCTAAATATATTGTACTTGCAACGGTTTGCTGTTTACTTTGCGCTTATCAACTAAATTAGCACCTAAGGATTCTTCACATCTGCAAGGGGAAAGAGAAGAGAAAAGAAGAACAACAATTAGTCACATGTGACCTGATTTTTGAAAGCTTAATTTATTCCACCTGCTGATGGTGATTTGCATAGTTTTTGCCTTATCGCTTATGTATTATGTTAATATGTGTATATGGGTGTTTAAATTAACATTAATGTTAACATTAACATTGGACTTTTGGCGGGCTCCGCCTCGCTCTCTCTCCCTCTCATTCGCTCTGTTACGGTTTATTTACTTGCCTGCTGTTAATTTGGCAGTAAATAGCTCTGAATACATATGTGTAGAGAATAAATACATAACAAATTTTATAGCACTACACACAATAATGTGATTGTAAAAAAAAGGCGCCACTTTTTCGATTTGGCATGCCTGTTGATAAGCTTGAAACTGTAAAAAAGTACTTAAAGGGCACTTGAATGCTAGAAACAAGTAAATAAAAGACCAAATATAATATATTTTTTGCTAGCCGGGCACGACATTTCAACTTTCCAAATCAACAACATCTCTGAAAGTTTCACTCAAGCATGAAAAAGTAAAACATACAGAATTACTCGAAGATACACACTTGTTGCTGTTGTTTGTGTTTGCCAAAATGTCAATAAACTCGAAAAAATTATTAAACAATATGCAACAACAAAGTCAGCATAGAAACAGAAGCAGCAAAAAAAAAACAGCCAACAACATTGCTGCTAAAGAAAAAAAAATGGAAAAAAGTGACGTTATGCTGTTTCAACGCTTTTGGCGTCTCGTGCGTTCCTCCATTTCCCCGCTCTTCCCCACCAGCCAGCAGCAGACAGAGCCGAAGCTTGAATCAAAGCACACACAGAAAGCGATTCAAGCCAGGGCCAAGTTATTGTAGTGTGTATGTGTGTGTATGAAGGCTATTGGCTTCATTTAGCTTTGTTGTTGCTTCTGCCATTGCTCATTAGAAGTCTTGACTGCTTCAGCTTTTCTGTCAGTCTACCTGTCTGCCTTATTTTATTTTCATGCCCGATTGAGAAAACGTTATAGCAAGCATTTTCGTACGTTGCTTGCCAAAGCAATTCAACGAAACTCAAAAGCCCGGCATTTCTTGACCATGTTTTGCTATTTTTTTTCCTCAATTTTTTTATTTTTATTATTTTATTCATGACACATGCCTATGAACATGATTTCAAATGAATGTGATTGTGTGTGTCTGTGTGTGTGTTTAAGCCATGAATGAAGCGGCTTTGAAGTTGAAGGCATATTTCATATTAGATTAGCAAATTAAAAAGTTCAACAAGCTTAAAAATAATAGGCAAATGAGCAACAATTAGCGGCTATTTTTCATTTTAATGAAATAACTAATAAAAAATACACGCGCTGTTATCAGCATTAACAGTAACCGACACAGCAATATAATGGGGAACAATTTACAAAAAGGTAATTCAGCCGTTTGGCTCGAAATCAGAGTTCTAAAGAAAACTGTATATTGTTTAAAAAAATTGGAAATTCAAATGTATGTTCAGAGAGTAAGGAGTGTTGAGCAACAATGTTGCGCTGTCAACAAAGTGCCGTTAACAGTGCATTAACAGCAACGGGCGATAACAGTACGCTGCACAACAGACACGCTGTTTGGCATAAAATCAATCAAAATTCTGATGCAAATTTTTAGAGATTAAAATAATTGACCATTAAAATGTGTTAGTTAATTTGTTGTATTTGGGTTAAGGGTGTGTAACAAGAATGTTTCGCAGTCAGCAAAATGTCATTACCAGCAATGGCAGCATTTTGAAATTGAATTGGAAACATTTTAAAATAAGCAGCTTGTTGGCATGACAAATTTCTTTGTGATTTCTGCATCACATTTGCACGCAGATTCAATAAAAAACAATCTAACTTATTTTTCATTACGCAAGCATTAACAGCACTGCTCGATCGAATGCGATAGCAGAGCGCTGCAACAATAATTGAAAAAAGATTGCACAATCTAAGGTGATGTGATGAAGCAATGAAATTTCAAATGAGATTAAAATAGTTTTCAAGCTGTGGCTTCTATTTGTACACACACACGTAAATTTATTGAGTCAGTTTCTACCGGATCTTCTGTTTACCAAGCAATTTATACACATTACAATTATCAAATGTAAATAATTGAATACTCAAGGGAGTTTCAACAATGGTAATAGAAAAAATATACTCAATGCTTATTAACATAAATTCTTTAGAATATATATGCATCATTTCCATAATTTAATCATTTTAGCGAATTACAACTGTGTGGGCAACATGTGAAATACCCGCTTAGCAAAACAAAATCGCGCCAATTTTATAAGCGACAAAGTTGTTGCTCAATGACGCTGCCGGTAACAATTTTAACATTTTACGAGCTGATAATTGCGACACAAATGCGCCAAAAACAACTGTTAACAAAAATTGCTGCAATGACTATACATATATACATATGTATATAATTCCATATACAAGCATACCATGTACACACTCGTATATGTACATATATAAAAGTAGTAGTAATAGCGAAGAAAGAACAAACACTCAGGCCACTAGAAAAAATTAAAGAAGAAGAAGCAACAACTACAGCAACATTAGAGGCGCACTCTCTGTTGCGTCGTTCTGTAAACTGAGAGAAACCGGCGGCGTCGTCGACGTCATATGGAATTTGCTGAAATTGGCAAGAAGTGAGCCGAACAGAAGAAGACGCAGCACAGGTAAGCAACAGCTCTCTCACTCTCTATCTGGCGTTGATGTGGCAACAAAGGGTGCTCTTTCTTTTAGTGTTGGGAAATAACTTATTTGGGAAAAAGAGAAATGCTTCAAGAATGAAGCGTAATGATTTATAGCCTCTTTTTATCCACACAACTTTTAAAGAATTGTAATTATTGTCTCAATATTTTGTAATTTTCCGCACTGCATAATTAACAGAAACTGTTACATGAAGAATACCTTAACAGTTGTTGACATAGAAATTATACCCATTTATAGTACTATAAATATTCAAAAAAAAAGAGTTCGATTCTATAGCTTTTGGCAAATAAAACGAAATACAACAAAATGTATATATAGTTCCGCAATAATGAACACCCTTTACTCGGACGTACATACATATGCATATAAAAACAGCAGCCTCGTCCCCACACGAGGAATACTTGCAGTAGCAGCACAAAAACAACAACAACGACAATCAACGAACGGTATCTGCTTACAGACCAGCGATTTCTTACCAACTCACTCACTTGCTTCGGTTTTGATTTACTCATTCGCTTACTTTTCGTAATTCGTGGGTAATCCAAAGCGAAGACACGGAAATTTTATACCTTGCTTGTACGAATTATGTGGGTACTACAACAACAACAAGAACAACGAGAACAAAAATAACAGCAACAGTAAAGGTAAGGGTATGGCTGGCAGGTAGGTCCTGCTTATGAAATTTCAATTTCAATTCAAGCAAATTCCTTTGATCCACACGCTCGCAGAAATACAAGTAGCCGTATATCTACATATATGAACATATATATTTTTTTAAACTAAATATAAAATTACAGGCACAGTATAAAGTTTCCCATAGACATAAAAAAAAAGCATTTAACATTTTAACAGAAAATGCCACACGAGCTTTGAAGCTAAAACCAACAATAGATTTGGATTAATGAACGTAAGAAAATATATTTACGAGATTTTCTAAATTGATTATTAAAGATTTCAAACAAAGAACATTTTTATGGGTAAATATCACAAGTATTGCAAGAAAATTATGTTGTTTCCAATAAAACTAATAAGTATTCTACACTCAAGTGTACTTTTTTGCGATTTACTTCTCACAGCATACTTGTAAAATACGAGAAATCTTTATTCAAATTATTTGTGCGGTTATATAGAGTTAGAAGATTTGGTTTTATTTCAATAGTAGAAGAAAGACACATTAAAAAGTATTCAAGAAATCAAAATTTTTACTAATTTATGAATTTATGAGGTTCTCTGAATGTCTCTAGCAATATAATTTCTGAGCTAAATAGATTCTTTTGTGTCTTTGGACGACAATTAGGCGATACATGGATTAATATTTTCTGTCCATTTTGAATTTAATTTTTGTTGATTTCTTGGTTAATTTGAAAGTTTAAACAATTCGTGCCTTGCATGGGACTTTATATTAATTCGTTCCGTGATAAAAAGCGGATTGTCATCATTTAACACAACGTGTGTGTGTGTTCCTTTATTAAATAAAATGCCAATCAACAATGCTCAGAAGAGGAAAAGCAACTAAGAATATCAAATTCCAAAGAATACAAGAAAAATAATTTAAAAAATAGACAACATCAAAGCAGTTTTTAATTTATTTGTATTGCCTTTCAAAAGTCAGTAAGGTGTGTTGGACATTTCCTAATGACAAGAGCAGAAATTAGAAATATGAATGGGGTTTCAAAGCAACTTCCGCCATTTACGATAAAAATGTCAGAGAAATTTAATTTAAAAGAAAATATGAAATATCAATGCAGTCTGTCCGCTATAACGATTACTCCCCGTACATAGGCGTTGCACATTTATCTTCGTCTAAAAATGTAATTCAAAGTGCACTTGTTAGACGTCTGGTCTGTCTGCCTGTCATTGCTTTGCTTTATCATTTAACCAACAAATAAGCAAATAATTGTGACATTAAGCAAACAAGGAAGAGAAATGAATACACATGCATGTAAAGAAATAAAAAAGAGAATGAAAAAAAGTTAAAAGAACAAACAAAACCCGCGATACATACACACTATCTACACACGCAGCTTTTTCCAATCAACCATCAAGAAAAGAAAAAAAACTAACAGAACGACCGCACGGCACGCAGCTCGCGTAGGTGGCGACGTTGGCGTCTATCTATGTACATATGTACATACATATGTACCCGACCGCACCAGTGGAACAGAAACACCAACAACAATAACATTTGTAGCGCAACGCGCACACTTGATAAAGAAATAAAAAAACACAATAAAAACAACCGACTCAAAAAACTAGATACAT